GGGAACCTTGGTTTAAATCATAAACAGGATATAAGCATCTTCTCTCCTTTAGGTCAGTGATTCTCAACCAAGGGTTTGTGTAGCCCTTGGGGTACCCGAGCATATTACAGGTGGTACGTGGAAAAATTTCCCTGGTGCGTAAAAAAAAAAAAGAAATATAGGACTGAGATTTGTAGGGCCCTGTGATTTCTGTAATGCAGAAAAGGCAAATGGAATCATGAAATTGACACAAAATGGAATCCAGTATAAAACGTGGAATCTCATGGCCTTTACTCATTTGGGGTATTTGATGTATTTTGGACTCTGTTGTTTTCTGCACCTGCTGGTTTATTTATTTAATTATTCACTTTCAAGGCAACTTTTTTATCTTTATGTTTAATTTGAGTTGAAAAGAATAAAATGTCTGGGAATTAAACGCTCTAGGGAGTTAAATAATTTTCATTTAATAATAAGTTGTACATTACAGTTTTGTAGAATCATCATTGCGTTTGACAGAGGGGTACTAGTGGCATGACAATATGACTCTGGGGGTACACAAGTCTAAAAAGGTTGGGAACCACAGCTTTAGGTTGCGGCATGCATTTGACAATGCTGTCCCAAAATTGTAATTATATGTAAAACGACTGATTATTATTATTATTATTCTCATTATTTATTATAAACACCATCTTTATTTCTGGGTCTGTGCTCTGTCCCGCCCCCGTAATTTCTGTCCAATGGGAGCAAAGACCTGCGTGGCTTTGTTTATAAATTAAAGTTCACTTGCAAAAAGCACCATGTGAATGCAAATCACACCAAAGGAACACAATAAAGTCTGTTATTTGGTCCGGACCAAACAAGTGGACCAAAGGAACTTCCTGGTGTGAAAACATCCTAAAAATATTCAAATATTTTACTTGTTTTTCCTGCTTGATAAAGATAATTAAGACCAAAGTACGTGTTAAATTTATGACAATAAAATACTGTTCTTGATAGAATATTTGTCCACGATTCTAAATGAACATATTGAAATACTTTGATAATCGTTGTGTTTATTATATAAGCCTAACTTTTTATTAGTTACAAAGTTAGTGGGCGAAGAGATGCAAACAACCAGCTGAATGAGTTGCAAAGTAAAGGGTGAGTTTGTGTTTTTAGTCAGAATGCTGGCCTGGCTCCACAGAACCGAGAGGTGACACGGGTTTAGTGTCATTTTTCTTTTATGAGCTCCGAGGCTATCCATTATTTAAGCACCATGGACATCAGCTGACTCAACATTTAGCCTTCTGTACGACACGTACGACACGCCAGGAACCAAAACACAACTTCAACCCTCAGGGGCCACAAAGTTTTTAGCAATAAAATGTTTAAAAAGTTTGTTTCAAGTCTTTTCCTGGGCTGCTGAGACATCAGAACTGACAGGTTAGTCCTTTATCACGACAATAATATGAAGCTCAACTAAATTATGTTCTTACTACAACATGTGTCTGACTTAAATTATGTGGTACATCTCAAAACCATTTTTTGTTTTGTTTTTAACCTTCCTGATGTTTAGTTTAATGTTGGACCAGTTTAAAAGCAGCTGAACAACCTCAGCCTAAGTAGAGAGGATCAGATGAAATAATCTGACGTAAGCTAATGTGACATTTGTGTGCTAAAACTGTCCTTACAAGCAACCGAGTCAAACGTTATTGTTCCTGTCGTCCATAAAACAACTCCGCGGGGATGAATTATAAAAGATAAAACAGACAGAAAGAAGCTTCACGTACTGTCGTCACGCAGCGGAGATGTCAGGAGAACAAATCAGACCAAATGAAATAAGAAAAGCAGATTTTTCTTCAGAGGTGTTGGTTGTTTCCTCTGGTTTCMATCCTGCCATCTGGGAGTCCTTCATCACCTTAACTATACTTCAGTATTTCCTGCATAATCCTCACTTCCAGGGGAGTGGTGGGTTTGAAAAAAGATAAAATAATAATAAAAACTGGTGTGGAAAAATCARAATATCTCTATTTCAGGAGGAATCTTGCTCTTTCAGTCAAAGAGCAAGGGGTCATACTCTGTATTGGATATTTATCTACATAACAGAATCACTCAGATGATTCACAATAACCATCAGATCTGGATRTCTGAAGTAAATTAAGGTAAATTAAGGTGACCAAGTTCAAATCAGGCGTAATTTTGATGGGCTTTTCCTCCCAGATGATAAAATGATAAATAAAAAAAGAAACTCCTGAGTAAACCTATAATAAAAACAGCTTTTCTGGACTCTCCTGAGGTGGATTTTCTGAAATAATTGAGAATTAAACAAACCAACAATCTTTTGTGGAGATTTATTTGATGCTTTATTGCATTAAGTCCAACAGAATCCAGTCTGAGGAAGTAGAGAAGAAGACTTAACCGTCGGTGTTTACATGTTAATAAGTGTTAAATCTGGGCGTAAATATTTAAACTTTTGCAATTAAGGATTTTGTCGACGTAAGCCGTATTCTGACAGGATTAGTTTTACCTACAGTCAACATGCTGTTTGTAATGATTACAGAGATTATATGTGTTGTTAATCCCGTGTGGATCGGCCATGTCAGTAATTTGTAAAGTAAAAATTCTCCTGCAAATTATTTCGCTGAACTCTGAGGTGCTGTGATTCTAATCCAGTGAGAACAGGCATCTCTGTGATTTGGTCAGGAATGGGCTGAGTCTGATATGCAATCATGCATTTTTTTGTTTCCTGGGTGCATTTTTATTTGCTTTTGGTGAAGAATGGAGGCTGGATTGGAACGCAGTGAAAACCTTTTGGCTCGTCAGAACCCTACTGACCYGTAACGTGTGGCATCAAAGAGAAAAGGCTGAAGAGAAGGAGCAAAACCAGATGCTAATGGTGGCTCCCATCATGCATTGCACTGTGGTAAGAATGATTGTTTTCTATTTGTAGCCTTCTGGCTGATGCTGGCAGTAACAGCACAGAGCTGTGGTCATAGCACAGTGCATTCTGGATTATAGTGGCGCTTCAGGTACTCACACAGGGGTGGAGGTGTTTATACTTGGTGCTTATGTTGTAGGTTTCTCCAAAAGGACATGCAGCAGAACACTTYATAACTTGTRAAAATTTTGTAAACAGGGAAAAGCTTGATGAACAGACAAAGTGAACGGTGCGCGGTACACGCAGAGTTACTGAGAACATTTGGGGCGAACCCTGGCGTCATGTTCAACGCGTCATAAACCATCTCATCTAGGAGATATCCTTATCCCGTGCAAATGCACCACATAAAAGACAGATGTCTATGAGTAATTTATGTACAGGACAAAGAGGAAAGCTAAGAAAATTACTGCAGATAGTCCGTACCCTCTTTACTCAGTTTGAGCCTCTGAAGTCTGAGAGACACTTTAGAGTTCCTCTGGCAAAAAGTGTTTAAAAAAGGCTCTTTGTTCCAAACACCATTATTCTCTATCAAACCAAGATAACAAGTATATCTGACTGAGCTGCTGGGGTGGAGGTATTTTAAATCTTTTGTATGAGTGTGTTTTTATAAACTTTTATAGGTTCTTAGCAGGGTTGTAAAGCAACTAAGTACAAATACTTTGTTACTGTACTTAAGTAGAATTTTTGGGTAWCTGTACTTTACTTGAGTAATTATTTTTCAGCGTACTTTTTACTTTTACTCATTGCATTTTTACACAATTATCTGTACTTTCTACTCACTACATTTTTAAAAAAAGATAAGAAGTAGAAAGTCGTTACTTCTATTTTATTCTGAGTTATTACTTAAAAAATCCTCTCCTGATAAACTGTCTCCTGATAGAGTGAACTTAATTGTGTTTGGATGAGAARTATAAATATATACCATTCTGACACTATTAGCTTGTACACAACCCATCACAGCTGCACRCTGTTAGAAAATATAGTTTTTGGAGAAGTCACCTCCCAATAAATGTCATTTTGKAAAATCTAACTGCTCACTTTTACTCAGTACTTTTACTTTTAATACTTAAGTAGATTTTGTGTCAGAAATTTACTTTTGATACTTAAGTACAAAATATATCAGATACTTTAAGACATTTACTGAAGTAATATTTTTAGAGAAGACTTTAACTTTTACCAAAGTATTTTTATGATAAGGTACTTGTACTTTTACTCAAGTATCACTTTGTGGTACTTTATACAACACTGGTTCTTAGTGTGTTTGATGAGTTGTTTTGGGTATTTTAATAGATTACACGTCTGGTGAGCTAAAGAAAAATTTCCACTTTGGTGGACATTAAAGTTCTATTCTATTCTATTCTATTCTATTCTATTCTATTCTATTCTATGGGTCCCCAGATGAAGCTTATCCCATGTGAACTGGGCTTAAATTAACTACAGATTATTTGACTGAAACTAAATAGTAAAGAGTGAAGATTTTTTATAACAACAACACATTTTAAAGAAAAGCCATAAAAACTGTGAAAAAGTGTTTTTAATATTGATTTAACACGTCTCTGTTTTGGAGTGAACTCTGGAGTGGTCCTCGCTGGTCGGTGGCAGACTGATGTGACAGTCTGAGTGTGTAAAAACAAGTTGTTCTTCACCTTTAGCTAACACCATGTGACAAAACAACACATCATTAACTGAGACTGAGACACTCCTCAGCTTCAMCTCCTCCAGGCACTCTCAGCAAGATAACTGCAAACGTATACGCTCCCTCAAAAATCCAGTCAACTAACTTAGTTTATGAGAGTCATTTCATCCTCCCCCACAAGCAAAAGGGCGGTGGTACTCACACGGTTCARTGAAACTACTAAAACTCTGGATATGACAGTCGCACTGAGAGCTGGCATCAATCTGAGAGAGAAACTCCACGCTCTGTGCCCGCAGGTTATTTTAGCAAATGTGAGGCTTTAAATCTGCCAAACTGCTGCCACTTTGGAGGTGAAGGGAAACAAAGGCAGGGAAATACGTCTGCTGGATGAACACAGCACAGGGAGGCAGGGCGACGAGCCGAGTGACAGCAAACCAGATAACAGGAGACAGAGACGCTGCGACTTACTTCTCAATGAGGTCCAACGTCACCCCCGGCACCAGCTTGGCACTCTTCTGCATGCAGAACCTGGGACAGAACAGAAGAGATGTGTTACCCACAGGGTGGGGGGGTTAAAGAGAAAACACGGCCCTGCGTTAAAACATTTGGCCTCCAAAGAACAGAATTTATGAGCCACAGGCGGGACAATCCATAAATAAAAGACTTGAATGAAAAATGAGAGGTGCAGAGATTACAGCCACTGAGCACTGAGCACTGAGCAGTACCAGTGTGTTGTGGCTGAGTTATGGTCGGGGGGCACGAGGTGGGAAACACACTCATATCTCTGAAAGGCCTGCCGGGGGGGGGGTTGGGTTGGGTTATTGTTTACTATCCCTGGTTAGTTCTGACAGACCGGCCAGCTGTAAGTCACCTGACAGTCCACCAGCTCGGTGTGAGTCATCACACACCTGGAGCACAGCAGCTGTGTGTGTGTGTGTGTGTGTGTGTGTGTGTGTGTGTGTGTGTGTGTGTGT